CGGAATTGCCCCTGCTTCCCCTTCCTCTCGCAATAGAAGGGAACGGTGTGAAATCCTTCCCCTGATCTCCCCTCATGGGTTTTTCTTGTTGATTTCTTCTTCTTCTTCTTCTTCTCTCTCTCTCTCTCTCTCCCCCTCAAGTCGATTGAGTTGGAGCAATGAAAGGCATTGTTCATCTTCTTCGCATTAATTTAAGAATTTTAGTGTTTTGGTCCTCACGTCTTGTGAGGGTTTCACTATTGATGGACTCGCTGCCATATTTTTGTTACAGATACACTGGCTGCTTCTGTCCAAGCCGGGATCTCATGGGTTTGAGCCAATAGTCATGGCTCCTCTGTGCCTTTCAGAGACATGGGCTGCAATGGAGGGCTTGTTTGCATCAAGGCAAGCAAGGGCAATTGGGGTGAGCAACTTCTCTACAAAGAAGCTGGAAGACCATATAAAATATGCAAAGGTGCCGCATGCTGTGAACTAGGTTGAATACCACCCTGTTTGAATGCCAGCCCATGATCTAGCAAAGAGAGCTCGGCATATGAATTCTTTTGTAAATAACCATGCCAGCTTGGTAAACCTAACTTCCCTTTTTGTAATCATGTAAATGGATCCAAATGTTCCCTTAACTTCTTCCTCTTAATGAATCCAGTTTTATCCACGTTGAAAAAAAAAAAAAAAAAACTTATGCAAATCAATCGGTGTTAATCTCTTGGTAATTTTCTGACGGGTTAATTTGGAGTTTGGACAGATTGCCTGGTATAATTGATTGATCTTCATAGAAATTCCTCGCAGGTACCATTGGCCTAATAGCATTGCCCAACGAATCCTAAGGGATCAAAAGCATGGAAATTTACACAAGAAAGGTACCAGAAGTCAATTCATGAGGGAAAATTTTCCTGGATTTATTATTAAAATTTCAATTGTGTAATCAGAAGAAAAAAAAAATGCTTGATTCGTGATAAACAAGGCCTTTTCTAAGAAATAAAACAACCTTCATCAAAATATCTTTCTGTGATGCAAATATGGCTCTCCAGCTTCTTTGTAGAGAAGATGAACGGTGCCGTTTGGTTGCTTTGTCTCAATCGACTCGATCAAAGAGAGTGGAGACAGAGAAGAGAAGAAGAAGAAATCACGTTGTTCCCTTCAATTGTGAAAAGGAGAAGCAAGGGCAATTCTGATATTTTGAAATATTTTATTGACTCCCTAACAATTAATCAGGGATAGTTTTATAATTTTATAGATTTTCTGTTTGAATCACAGATTTTTCTCGATATCTTTAAAAATTCAAGGAAAATTTTTGCTACAATAAAACTAAAAAAAAAAGGTTTTTATAATTATCAAAAACTTCACGGGAGGTTTTCGTTATTTATCTTTTTTCAGGTAAGTGACGTCACGGTCACAATGTTCTAGGCATGCCGTATTTAGTATTTACTTTAGTAAGGGACAAATAATAATTCGTGTTAGGGTTAGGGAGCTTCACTAAGAATTTTACACGTGGCAATATCATCAGGAGGAGGTTTGAAATCAAAATGCAATAAATTGTTTGTTATTTATTGACATCGTGGTTAGTGTTTTTGTTATAATACAAAGCTATAACCGATTAGCGTTGTTTACTGTTGAGTAAAAGTAATAATGGTAAAATATAAAAACCTCCCTCAAAGATTTTGATAATCATAAAAATCTCCCCTATAATTTTATTATAATAAATATCTCTCCTTAACTTTTGAGAAACTGAATAAAAACCTTCCTTCTGTTATTGACCCATACGGAAAACGTTAGTTGATGCATCAATTTTTTTAAATACTTATTTTACCCTTTCGTCAACTTCAATGTCTACATTTTTACTCATAGTACTGGGCAAGTAATCTAGTCCGTACACGTGGATGCCACGTATCAGACGGACATGGAGTGACATGATTGGCCCTATATCCTCCTGTTCCTATGGAGGGTTCAGAGTGTTGAGGAAATAGAACCACCACTGAGAGAGAGATAGTCGCGCATTGCTGGTTTATAGAGAAATCCTTTGTGATGGCTGGTGCTTCAGAGAAGCTATTGTAAGTGATGATTTGAAGCAAAACCGAGTTCTGATTCATCACGGGTTTTCTTTGAAAGTGATATACAGAAATTGGAGATGATTTTGCGAGATTGTTTTGAGTTTTGTAGTGGTTCCTGAGAGAAAGACAGTGTGTTGAAGCTGTGAATTACTTCATTTCTTTGCTTCTTCTTCTTCCTCCTCTCGCTTATACAAACCCACAAAGTTGGACCTAAAGAATCCAAGACGTTAGGTTATTAGGTTCACCAACACTTCTACAGAAAGAGGACTGGTATCTCTTTTATTTCTTTTCATCTTTTTCTGTTAAGTCACCTAGATATTTATAAAATGAATTGAAACAAAAACAAAAGAAAATAAGAAACAAAAGCAATTCATCCTTCCATGGGATGATACAAAAGAAGAGAAAACCAGCATTCAAGCATTTGGCTTACTTTGTTGAATTGAAGACCAAGAGAGGAGCTCAATTTGACTTTACATGCTTTGTTTCATTCATGGTGGTAGGCTATTGAATGGAACTTACCATTGTCCGTCTGCGTCAGTGGTAAAAGGTAAAACTGGTATTTAAAAAATTGATGCATCAACTAACGTTTTCTGTCTGGATCAGTGGTGGAAGAGAGGTTTTTGTTGAAGCAATACATCCCATGTTGAAATCTGAGTAAGGCTGTTTTAGTGATTTTGAAGAGGCCTTTTTGGTATTGGAAAAGTCTCTTGTCAAATTTGCTTTATCTTATTTATTTGCATTGCAACCAAACACAAACACAGCGTAATGTGTGGTTGATGCTATGTTATTATTGTAGTCCGAATTCATGTGATAGAGAGAAAGAGAGTGAATTGAGGTGAGCAGACGAATGGAATTTCTTTTGAAGGCCTATAAAAAATTATCTCAAAATATGTCTCAGATGAGATCTATCGACGAATCAAATAAGAGGGGATGATTGGCGAAGAAAGTAAGAAAGTAAGAAAGAGTTGTACTTATTTGATCATGCTTCTCGAATGGTTGAATCGAGATGGTTGATTCACTAGCTATGCCAATTCGAATAACTGGGGAGTTTTTTAAAGACGCAAAAGATTGTTTTCTAACCAAACAAGATTTCGGTTGAAGTCGTAAAGTTTATGTGACACTTATTTAACGGCCAAATGGCTCTTTCGATACCAAAACAAGTACCAAATTTCTCATACCAAAACAAATACCATATTTTGTTGCAAGTAGACCTGTTCATGGGCCGGGCTGAGTCGGGTTTGGATTGGGCTTTCACTTGTCACTAATGAAAATATACTATGTTCGAGCCCGAGCCCGATCCGACCAACGGGCCTATAACTTGGGCCGACCCCGCCCCTGGTAAAAAGTCCGAAACTCGAGCTCGAGCCCGAAGCCCGACCTAATTGAAAAAAAAAACAATTTTTCTTATTCAAATTAGAATTAAAAATTCAGATAGTATTTTTTTTTTCTATTTAAATGAACAATGGGCCTACAAGATGGTATTTTTCCCTTTCTTTTATATTTTAAAACACAATTTTACATTCTTAAATCAAAAAATTTATTCAAATGGACATAATCACATAACTAATTTTAAGTTTAATATTAGGTCGAGCCGGGCTATTTTGACAAAACCCGAGCCCGACTCGAATTTATTGCGGCCTAGGCTTTTTGGCCCGAATTTAAGCCCGCGGGCCTATAAGCATGTTCAAGCCCGTCTGGGGGTCAAGCCGACCCGTTGGGCCACCCGACCCATGAACAGGTCTAGTTGCAAGGCATTTAAATTGAATCGGACAACAACTGTTCAGGGGTTCGGTTTTGGGGTCGAACAATTTAACCGTTCGAATTGAATAAATAGCCCATTCTAACAAAAAACAAAAAAATTTAAAAGAATAAAAACCACTAAAATCGTTGGGTTCGAATGATTCTATCATCCGGATTAGTGATTTGCTGGTCAAATCAATGATTTTTGATGAAATAATGGTTCTGAAGTAAAATGGAACTGATCCCGACTGATTTCTGATTTTTCCTGTCCGACCGTCCGATCCAGTCCGATTTTGAAAACCATGTTTTGTTGAGACCCTTCTATAATATAATAAGTTAATAACTAATCGTGATATTTTTACAAAAGAAAAAATAGTCGTGATTATGTGCCACTGATATGTGCGCAGAGTTTTTGTTTTCAGAGGATCAGGAACAGGCTCACGTACGCGCAGAGTTTTTCCTTTTCATGGCTTTGACTCTGAAAGTCAAGCCCCTGAGGTGTGATCGTGGAGTCAAAGCAAATTTGCGCACTTAGAATCCAGCCGCACATTCGGAATATTTTGCGTACCTTAAAATCACGGGAAGATGTCCTCATTGTGCGGCTGGATGCCCATGATTTGAAGGCACGAGCAGTGCAGGGTTTTTTGTTTCAGGGGATGCCCGTCTCAACGTCTCGTGAATGTGTGAGAATGTGAGGAATCGGGATCTGCTACTGACAAATCGCACCTCACACAGACCTCACAGACCTATCTCCATGAATAAACACAAAGGACGGGAGATGTTTTCAATGTACGGTGGGATGGGGCTGTGAGGTCCGGCTGCGATAAGGCGCCAAACACTGTAGAGCATTCACGTGAGGACAGCGTCAGCGAACAGCGACAGCCGTCCTTAGGAACTAGGAATTTGGAGGACTGATAATGTAGGTCACTATGAAGCGAAAAAAAATGTATGTTTATTATTCCATTGATCTATTCGTTCGATTGGAATCTTATTTTGAAAAGCCTCACATAATGACAAAACCTAACCAACAGTCTACGAAATGGACTCAACAATCCGTGATCACGTATGTGCGTGGAACCACCATCGTTTTTGATAGTGATTGGTAATATACAAGAGTAGAACTGTAGAGGATTTCAACTCAGCAACTAACAAAGGAGGACAACAAACTCTCACCTCCCACTGTGAGTCGGTGACTGATGGACACTGTCCGGTGAGACTTGAGAGTTGAGAGAACCTTGAATAAGTAAATAATAAAAAAATTAAAATTAAAAATTTTCATTTTTTGTTGGTGGAAAAAAAACTTTTCATTCAACAGCAACAAAGAGAGATATGGTGATGAGTGTAGAGCAGATGCAGAGAAGAGATGAACAAATAAAATAAATAAAGGTGTCGTTCTTCTTGAATGGGAATCTCGCTTTTGCTTTGGTCCACAACAATGGTGTCTGTGCGAGACTGAAAAGCAGCAAAAAGAGAAGGGGAGAGATGCCAAAGAGAAAATGGTATTATGGGGAAAAGGAGATATGGATTGTCGCTTTGTGGCTGGCCTTCAATGGCGTTAAGTCCAGCATGATCACTGCCTATCGTAATCCGTTTTTGGACGGTTGCCTGTTTTTTCATCCGCGCCTGCGCCTGCGCCTATGATAATGTCGTCTTCTTCTTCGTAGAGCTCGTTCGGGACCGGTCTCAGGTAGCCGTTGACAAGAAGGTTTCATTTCGGCCTAGGGTTTCCGAATGTGATCGTCCCGGAGGAACTTGTGAGATCTGAAGAATCTTGAGAAACTTTTAACTACTGCAGCAGCTTGATTTCGGAACCGGAACGCCTGAAATCTAGCAGAGGTTGTGGTTTTCAGTGCGCTTAGAGGTGGAGCCGGTTCCTGGAAGAAAAATTTCCAGTTTACTGCAGTGTGTTTTAGATATGCGTATTTGAACTTTTAAGAACGCGATGATCGATCGGAAAGTGAAACCTCGGGAGGTTGAGTTCGTTTGATCCATTCACAACTTGCAGAGTTAAATTGCTTGAGAGTTGAGACTAACAACGCTGGCTCTGTTCTCTCTTCATAGCTACTGGGAGCGAGTGTGAACGGTTTGAGAATCGAATCAATGACTCAATGTGAGGAAAATTTACTGCTGCATGATGAATCTACTCATTCTCCACATTCTTTTTTAAAGTTTTATTTGATTAAAATTATTTTAACATTTAAGTAGTTAATTATTTCTTTTCTTTATGGATGTATTTAATATCGTTATCCGATAAATCGAGAGAAATTGTTAAAATATCGCGATATTTTCCATTAATGCTCATTATGCTCTGTATCATGTTCTTGGTGAACAAATACATGCTCATATATCACTTTTTCTCTGCTTATTTTCGCACTGTAATTATTTATTATTAATCAATTATTTAACGGTGGTTGCAGAGAGTGCAGAGACTTGTCTTTATTCTTGCGCTTTTGGGTTCCAGTGAGGATGCAGTTCCCAGCTTCAACAGTACTAATACTCTTTAGCTGATTCTTGGAAAGGCATTACCAGTTAAATTTATCTCTTCAAGTGGGTTTTATTTTTCCGGTCTCTCACAGCCTCTTTGATTGAATCCATCTTGCATGCTCATCTTATTTCTTCCATTTGGTCTGTTTTTTCCTCTCCAATTGAGTGAGCCTTTTTTTTCCTCTGCAATTGAGTCTCATTTCAGGGTTCTTTCAGCCTTTCTAATTGACCCACCTAGACTGCTGAGTTGCTTGTTCGCTGGCTTAGTTACAATGGCTAAACGAGTCTATCCTTCATCTGTATTATTGTTGCTTATTCTTTGTCTTTTAACTCGTTACTCGGACCAACTACAATCATCTCAAGTTCACACCCTTCTGAGACTCCAGCGGCTCTTGAATTATCCGGCTGTTTTAAGCGGCTGGACCAACTCGACGGACTTCTGCAATATTGAACCAAGCGAGAATCTTACTATTGTCTGCTACGAAGAAAGCATAACGCAGGTTCATATTATTGGAAACAAGGGGACCCCTTCCTTGCCTCGGAATTTCTCTATTGATTCTTTCTTCGTTAATCTTGTAAAACTCCCAAGTTTGAAAGTCTTGACATTGGTTTCACTTGGATTATGGGGTCCGCTACCGGGTAAAATTTCTCGGTTTCCTTCGCTGGAAATACTCAATATTAGTTCGAATTTCTTTTATGGTACAATTCCTCAAGAGGTTTCATCCCTGAGGAGTCTCCAGACACTCATACTGGATGATAATATGTTCACTGGTCCTGTTCCTGACTGGTTGGGCGACCTTCCGGTTTTGTCTGTCCTGAGTTTGAAGAGCAATTCGTTGAGCGGGCCTCTTCCGGATTCACTAGGAGCTTTGGAGACTCTCAGGGTTCTTGCGCTTTCCATGAACCGGTTGTCAGGGGATGTTCCTAATCTCAGCAGTTTGATAAACCTTCAAGTGCTTGACTTGGAAGATAATCTTTTGGGACCTCAGTTTCCTAGTTTGGGAAGCAAATTGGTTACACTTATACTGAGAAAGAATCGGTTTAGCTCTGCCATTCCTTCTGAGTTAAGCTCCTATTATCAACTTCAGAAGCTCGATATTTCCTTCAACAGATTTGTTGGTCCATTTGCTCCGTCATTGTTGTCTCTACCTTCCATTACGTATTTGAATATTGAGGGAAACAAGTTCACTGGCATGCTTACCGAAAACATGTCTTGCAATGCTCAAATAGAATTCGTTGATTTTTCCTCCAATCTTTTGAGTGGAAGCTTGCCGACCTGTCTACTTTCGGATTCTAATAAAAGAGTTGTCCTGTATGCTAGAAATTGTCTAACAACTGCGGAGCAAAATCAACATCCGAATTCATTTTGTCGAAACGAAGCTTTAGCTGTAGGAATATTACCTCATAAGCAGCAGAAGTCGAGAAGTGCTAAAGCAATTCTTGCAACTAGTGTGATAGGAGGGATTGCTGGAGGAATTGCACTTGCTGGTCTGGTTTTCTTGGTTATTAGAAGAATAAACACCAAAAAGATGATGAAAAAACCTACAACAAGGTCAATAACAGAAAATGCTTCAACTGGGTACACCTCAAAATTGCTCTCGGATGGAAGTAAGAGTTTCATTTTTTCACATTGTTTTTCTCTCTTCGCAAATGCTTATGTTTAAATAATATCAAGGAAAATACAGATAACAGTAACACAGATTGATAAATGTTAGATGTTGTTCTATAAATAATACTGCAGGTTGATTGGTATAATGGTATAAAACCCTTTTTGTGTCCTGCCTTTATCATGCATGTTGGGAAAGCTCAGTATTCCTTCCCCCCTCTCTCTCTCTCTCTCTCTCTCTCTCTCTCACCGGAGCAGCTTTTGCTTAGGTGAAGTTGGTTCTACTTCTACTGGTACCATGGTGCATGCACCATTTTTTTGGCCAATCTGTTTTTTTTGGTTATCTATCTTCTTAACACGTAACCGAATCCCTTTTGTTATAAATATCAAATCAATTCAATCCCATTTTTACCTATTCAAGAAAAAAGATCTTTTTTTTTTTTGTAAAATTAGTTCAATTGGCTTTTTTGTTTCTCTCCGCGCAATTAATGTGAACTTGCTTTTGGTTGAAAATACAAATCTAATTTGATTTCTTACCCTTCCCGTATAGAGAATGGTTAGGTTTCACAACATTTAACATTCGGATTTCTGTTCCTTCCCTGAAGGGTATATATCTCAAACAATGAAGCTGGGAGCACTTGGCCTTCCTTCTTACCGAACCTTTTCTTTGGAGGAGCTTGAAGAGGCTACAAATAATTTTGACACATCAACTTTCATGGGTGAAGGTTCACATGGTCAGGTATGCCATTTTGTTATTCACCTGATATTAAACTTAAATTAATGAAGCAGTCTTGTAGTCATTTTATCTTTAAGGTCTTCCTTCGTGTCAGTAGCAGAGCCAGGACACTTCTTTTCTCCTCTCTCTCTCTCTCTCTCTGGGGTGGTGGGGGCACTCTATTAGGATGGGACTTGGGAGTCCATTTCCTATTACCCCAATTTATTGAAGGGTGTTTTAGAACATCCCCTCCCCTGCAGCTCTAGCCCTTCTTCTTATGTCTTCTATAATATTTTACATATATGATGAGTTCTCTGGTCCATCCCTAGGAGGATACCACCTTGATTAGTTTTAAATTACATGCTTGAATGTGATGAAAAAGCAGATGATGAGTTCTCTGGTCCATCTCTAGGAGGATACCACCTTGATTAGTTTTACATTACATGCTTGAATGTGATGAAAAAGCACAAAATTCTTTTATCTGTGTAGAAATTTCATGCTACACTATGAGTAGAATGTGGATGGTGGCTGATAAAGGACTACAAACCAAGCAAATTTGACTCTTGGAGCTGTTTTCCCTGTTGCATAGCATTCATATTAATGTGTTGACATCTCCCTATTCGCTGTTCCTTCTTGTGGAATGCGAGTAATCTTTGACCTTCTTTATATGTTTTCTTTACTCAGGTTTATCTTTGAACTTTGTTAAAATAAGTTTTGCTGGATGTTCTGATAACAGCTACCAGAATCTTCCCTGGAAATTTGTACTTTATACATATTGAATTTCTTAACTGAAAATGTGAATGTTTTCTCTTGTGATCTCAGATATACAGAGGTAGGCTCAGTGATGGTTCTCTTGTTGCTGTTAGATGCTTGAAATTGAAAAAGAGGCACAGCACCCAGAACTTTAAGCATCACATTGAATTGATTTCAAAACTCAGACATCGCCATTTGGTCAGTGCTCTTGGACACTGCTTTGAGTGTTACCTTGATGATTCTAGTGTCAGCAGAATATTTCTGGTCTTCGAATTTGTTACAAATGGAACACTAAGAGCCCATTTATCCGGTGAGAGGATAGTCAATTGCATATATCATACAATTATTTTGATCAGTTTTTCTTTCTGTAAGTGAATAATCTCTAAATGGGTAAAGCAACAGGTAGAATTCATTATGCTCATTTTTGTCACAAATATGCTGATATCTAGGGTGTTAGCTCATTATTTATGGGTCATCAGCCAAAAGTATAGCTTACTAGACAATTTATGTCAACCATAGTTTAAGGTTCTTAGGATTGCCCAATTTTCATTAGTGTAGTTCTGGAGATTTGCTAGATGCTTTGGTCACTTGCAGAGAAAACCATCTAGATCACCCATGAGAAGTGATCTCTTATAAGATGAAGGGGCTGGACGAGTTAGGGGCAGGCCAAAAAAGGCACGGAAGTATTAAGTATGATTTTTAAGGGCTTATAGGTTAATAATTGATGTGGTACTGAACAGAATGGAATGGCGAAATAGAAGTCATGTAACTGACTCCATTTATTTGGAACAAGGCTTAGATGACGGATTCTGGAGATTTGCTGGGTAGGGCTGATTCAGCTATGATGCAAGCAATCATGAATGTACTTGGAATTCAGAATTCTAGATTTATTTTATGAAAACCATTTTTTTGTCTGTGTTAAGAGGCATGTGGACAGCTGTGTTTATGTCTTTTCTCTTTATAAAACTGTCCCATAATTATTAGGGATAGAACAGTCATTTAAATTGTAACCTTAATCTATAAATAAGACCTAGCTGACTGGGGAGAGATCATTCTGTTCTTTCTCTCTCTCTCTCCCTGTCTCTATATTCTTTTTTTATCTTTTCATAAACACCAGAATGAGATTCAATAAAATATATGAAAGTATGAACCCAAAAAGGTTGGGTAGCAGGACAAAAATACAACACCATAGAATGGCTCCATTTCATAGAGACAAGCAAAAAGAATTACAATCAACCTTGAGCCCCAGTGAACTACACCAAAAATTCCATTACAGCCCTTGATTTAGCTGGAGAATCAGTAAACATGTTAGCAGACATAGGCCCCATTTGAATGAGAGGTTCAAATTTCTGCCTAGGCAAAGTGCCACTCACCAAGGGTCTGTATATCCATGGGATATTCTCCCTGTCTTCCATCCAAGAGCTCACTTTTTTATAGCCCCCTTCTACTCTTTCTTTTTCTCATAGACTGAATACCATTTACAATCTGATTGATAATGTAAAGAAAGCAAGAGAGAAGAGGAGAAGAGAAGAGAATTGAACAATGACCAGTGCACCTCTTTATTCTACTTACATCACATTTACCCTTGGTTGCCCAATACATAAAGGGCAGAAAATAATATAGAGTAGAAAGAAACAAAATAAACCATAAAAGCATGAAATAAACATTCAACACTCCTCAAGCTGGGTAAATATGTGAATCATATTCAGTTTGCCTAAATCAACTTCTAGCTTTGACTTCCTAACTCCTTTTGTATAAACATCAGCTAATTGCATTTCAAAATTGGCATGGGAAGACAGTCTTATCTTGTAGATACCCTCTCACAAATGAAGTGTTTGGCCACCCATTGGATTATGAGTAATATTAGGCAGCCTAATGTAGCACAATCTGCTAAAGAAAAGATAGGGTAATCATGGAATAGAAACCTCCAGCAATTAACTTTGTAAAACTAAATTTGATGGGTGCCCTTTAGGTATTCAAGAGATGGATGGTATAGGGGGAGTATTTCAGGATTCATCTGTCAAGGTGCTGACTTTGTATTCGAGCCCTATAGGAAGAGATGACTAATTAAACTGAGTTGATGACACTACTACAAGGACTAGGGTTTGCAAAGCAATATGGGTTCCAGCGATTGGAAGTGGAAGGGGTCTCCCATGTGGTCATTTCCTGGAGAAGATGCATCAGTCAAATTCCTTGGATTTTTAGGCATGCCTTTAGGGAAATTGAAAGCCTATCAAAGGGGTTAAATGTTGCTTTTAAGTGGGTGAGAACAACTGCAAATGGGATGGCAGATGCTCTAGAAAAACAAGGGGTTAATGAGGAAAAATATTTTGGGCAAAAGTGTAACTCATTTTGTATTTTGGGATGGCTGAATCCTCCCAACTCATTGTACTTATTTAAATTGAATATTTAATAAGATCCTCTTAGCTCATCCAAAAAAAAAGCAGCCTGATTGGAAAAATATAGCAGCAAAGGTCCCTCAAAAGCAACTCTCTCAGTTCCCCTAACAGAGATTGATCTGTACTTTGCCTTTGTATTGGAATGAGCTACAATAGTCTGCATCTTACTCTTTTAGGAGACTAGATTACCACCACCTAAAGCACAATACCTAGAAGTAGATAACCAATTATCAATAAAACAAGCCTAGTATGTCTATAAATACTTTTATCTTCATATGTCCATGACTGGCATACGATATTACCTTTACCAGGATGTTTCTTTAGGTAAGCTAATATTCTCTCTATAGCACCAAGATAAGAACTACTTGTGTTGCATATATTGGATAACGACATTGATTGTATATGAAATATCTGGCCTAATCATACAGGTAGAGCAATCTATGAACCAGCCTCTGATAAATTGCCCTATCCTTCAAAGGCTCTCCATCTGTGGCACTCAAGTGATTGACTTACTATTCTAATTAATGGGTGCGTCAGCAGGCTTCTTTGCTTCATTCTCATCTTCCTTGTCCTTAAGAAAGACAAGTATACTTTGTGATATTAAGATCTCATGTTTGAACTTGGCTACCTCAATACCTAAGAAGTGTTGAAAATCCCTGAAGTCCTTTATCTTAAATTACCTACTCATACTAGGGTGATCAATCTTAGAAACATTATTTTCCATCACCATTATTTCTTCCACATATATATAATCAATGCAGTCAATAAAGTATCATCCCATTTAATGAAAAGTGTGTTATCAGGTTGTGACTTAGAATAGCCAAACCTTTGTAAGGCACCCTTGAATTTGTCAAACTACATTCTAGGTGATTGCTTCAACCCATACAGAGATTTCTTTATCTTGTAAACCTTCTTCTCTACCTCCTTACAATAAAATCCTAGTGGTATGTCCATATAGACTTCTTCTTACAGATCCCCATTGAGAAATGCTCTCTAAATTGGTGGTGGGGTGGCTTAACAAACAACAGGCTGTAATCTAGACTTATGGGAATGAGATTAAGAAGTTTAATTGGCTAACAAGGAATATGACAATGAGGATTAAATGGGTTAGAAGATCCTCAAATGGGATGGCTAAATATTGGCAAAACAAGGGGTGAATAGGGATCATCTATATTGGGCTCAGCTGTAATTTAAGTTATTGTGTAATTTGTAATGTGAGAGGTCGCACCTCCTGCCTCTATTGGGAACCTCATCCTGGTTGCAATATTCATTAATCATGTTTCATAAAATAAAAAATGCATTGTTCACATCTAGTTGAAAAGAGGTTTGCATATATGACTAACACAAATAGTGCTCTTTACAAATGATAGCTTTAGATATGGTCAGCCACATAGTTTTCAAGGCATCTAGGTGATTCTGGGTGACACTGGGGCGCCTAGTTGCCTAGGCGATAAAAATTTTATAATATAAAAAACTAACTTTTGGTTGGTTCCCTAGTTTTATTTACCATTCACCATGTATATTAAGTGAAAAAATAGCAATTCTCTTTATTAAGAACATTAAGTTTCCTCTAAAAATGTGGCAAATCATCACATCTAAAAGATAAAAATCTTTTACATATATTAATTTTATTGTTTTCAAAAATAATATTACTATAATTAGTATTTAATAGAGAAATTTCATATCAATTAGCAGCTAAAAAGGTTATTAACTTTATATGATAAATATTCAAGATGGAAAGTAAAATTGAAAAAACAAGGATGGTGTTACTGTTTTATTTAATTAGAGAGAGAATAGAAAAAAAAGAACCTCTTTATAATTCTATTCTTTCTTTGTTTCTTTGTTTCTTTTTCTCTCCTCAAAACCCTTTGATCTTTTAAATTTCAATAGTAAAACATTAAAACAAAGTATAATTGATATATATATATATATAGCATATACATATAATAAAATGTATTACCACATATGTTAATATGATACAGCAATATAAATGATATTATAAAAGGCGTCCGTCTTGTCATTTTTGTCGCCTAGGCGGGCGCCTTGTTGCTAAAAGTCAAGGTGTTTGGGCGAGGTGCCCAGCCTAGGGTGCCTAGTTTCCTAGGCAACGCCTTGACAACTATGATCAGCCACTTGTTTTCGTGGTTAAAAGCTGCTTCCCTGCCTCAATTGCACAATATTTAGGAGGTTGGTGTTTTAGGGGACTGATAGGCAAGGGGAAGTAGCATGAGGAGTGTTACCTGCAGCAGTATTTTAGTCTTTGTAGAAGGAAAGAAACACCAGGATTTTTGAAAACATATTCAGCACTGAAGAAGTAATAACAATCAGAATTATTATTGATCAGAAAAAAGGCAGAGTTATGGAAAAGGTGACTCTTGGTTGGTAAGTCACAGGATGTTTACAGTAGAGAATCATCATGATCATCATTGTCATCATCCATGCCTTATCCCAACTATATGGGGTCTGCTACATGAATCCTGTTTTGCCAATCCGTTCTATTTAAAGCCATATGTTACAGGAAAGAATACAAATACTTTTTTTATTTTTCTATTTTGGGAATCTTTTTGTAAACAGCCAGGGTCTGATTTTTCAATGTATAGTGATTAGTGAACAGCTTTGTATATTCCTTCTGTACAATAGCTTATTGTACAGTTTTTTTTTGGCTTTTGATTATTAATATAATTCATTACTTTACATTTCTTAAAAAATGGAGGCTAAGAATATTAGTAGCAAGAGATAATAACAATCTGAAAAATTCATTTTAGCCACTAGTGAAAGTCTGCAAGTAGTCAATGCTGTTGTGATAGGTGATCACATGTGGTCCCATTGTGCTGTTTTAAGTTAAGAGTGTTATTGGGCCTTAATCATTCATTCTCTTAAGTCATTACTAATCAGGGGCATTATTGTACAA